CGTCTAGTGAGACTCCACCACGAGCCCGCACGAGGGGGAGGATGCAGAAGGCTCGCTGCCAGCACAACCCAGAGGGGCACGCCGTGCACCGTGGGTGACAGGGCAGCACCGACACAGAAACACGTGCGCCCGGGCTCGGGGGCATCGGCTGCCAGGAGGGTGTGGGCTCCTTAAAAAGGGTGCGTTTCACCGGGGGCAGGAAGAACAGGCGTTTCTGGCTGAGGGAACGACCCACACGTATTGAAATGCACGTTTTCCCGAAGATGAAAAGTCTAGCTACTCCTAGAAGGTAGGTGAGCAAGGGTCAAATTCCTCACGGCTTTACAGACCTGGCTGAGGACTTTGGACTTGATCTCGCTGGGAACTGGGAGCCCCTGAGGGGGGGTAAGCCGCAGCGCTCACCAGGGCTGCTATTGAAAGCTTCGTGGCCGTGATTAGTCAGGTGAAAACTTGGCAAGCTGGCATCAGGCCATGACCACACCTGGGCAGCTGAGCCACACGGACTGAGTCATGGCCGTCCCCTCTTTCTCCACCCTTATCTGAAAATCAGATAACTCTTGGCATCCTTCCGGGAACTGTGTCCTGAGTGATGGCTCTGCCACTCCCCCGGCTTCCCAGCTATACCCAACAGGGACTCGTGAGCTGGTTGTTAAACATGACCATTATGAAAAAAAAAAAAAAACAGGTTATAAATGCTCCATACCCACCACTTCCTAATTACTTACAACACGATCATGTATGCGCTTGAGGTGATGGATGGCCATTGTATATGTGTCGTGGGAATTGAATATAGTGGTGTGCCCCTGCCTGCCTCTCCCCAACTCCACATTCAGGGGAACCACGTTGGTAGCTTGGAGCTGGCCACCAGGGGAGTATTTACACCACAGAAATTGGCAGATGCTGCACATCAGAGCTGCGGCTACAGAGAGCTGGTCCTTAAACACTTTCCAGCCACCACCACTAATCTCCACGCCCTGCTCTGCCGGCTCCTGGTGAAAGTGCACTCACCCTTCCCAGGCCTGTTCTTTGCACTTCTAGCAGCCGCAGCAGCACAGCTGGTCTGGTCAGATTAGAGCTATCGGGTGGGTTTCAGGAAGGTGTGGGGAGCCTCTGAGGACTTAGCCCTGTTTATGGGGCTATCTGGGGACGTCTCTCTGTGCTGCCTCTGCCCCCACTGAGGGCTGCATACCCTGGACAGGCTCCAGAGAGTCTGGCCATATGGATGGAGGGAGGGGCTGGCCTCATCCTGACTGGGGTAGGGAATTGAAGAGGGGCCTTGCCTGTGTCAAACCAACATAGTCCTAGCAGCCTCCTGTTCCAGGTGACAGACAACTGTGGGTGGCATCTCTCCAAGGTGCCCAGTTCCACAAAGGCACCTTGTAGCCAGGTACTCTCAAGGGAAAACTCATTTGTGAGAATAAGAACACCAAGCAGATAGCTGGAGGCAGCAACATGCCTTGTCTAGTGCCTTTGTGCCTTTGTAATGTAAAGGCAACAACATTACAAAGGCGGCAACACTGCAAGGGCAGCCTATCACCCTAGCTGGTTTGGCTCAGTGGATAGAGCGTCAGCCTGCAGACTGAAGGGTCCTGGGTGCAATTCCAGTCAAGGACACATTCCTGGGTCGATCCCCAGTAGGGGGGCATGCAGGAGGCAGCCGATCAATGATTCTCTTTCATCATTGATGTTTCTCTCTCTCTCTCTCTCTCTCTCTCTCTCTCTCTCTCTCTCTCTCTCTCTCTCTCTCAAATCAATAAAATACACACACACACACACACACACAGGCAGTCCTATCTACAGACTGCTGAGGCAGACTGCCACAAATTTAAACTCTCAGGACTATCTTCATGATCTTGGAGAAATTTCTTCACCAGGACTTTTCTATTTTTTAACTAACGGAGAACACTAGAGGAAATGATTGGTAAATTGGACTTCGTTCAAATTAAGAACATCTGTTTATCAGAAGACACCACTGACAATAAAAAGGCAACTCACAGGCTGAGAGAAGAAGTGTGCCATTCATGAAACTGACAAAGAGCTCGTGTTTCCAGAATATGGAAAGAACTGTCGGTAGAAAAAGACAGACAAGCCCTAGCCGGTTTGGCTCAGTGGATAGAGCATTGGCCTGCAGACCCAAGGGTCCCAGGTTCAATTCCGGTCAAGGGCATGTACCTTGGTTGCGGGCACATCCCCAGTAGGGAGTGTGCAGAAGGCAGCTGATCGATGTTTCTCTCTCATCGATGTTTCTGACTCTCTGTCCTTCCTCTCTGTAAAAAATCAATAAAATATATTTAAAAAGAAAAAGAAAAAGACAGACAAGCCCATTAAAAACAGGCAAGAGGCTTGAACAGACACTTCCTGAAAGACGACATCCAAATGACCCAGTTAGCCTGCGGAGAGGTGTGCAGCCTTGTTAGCATCAGGGAAGTTCACATTCAAAGCCACAGGGTGTGATCGTGACACACCCATGAGCCTGTGTAGAGCTTTAGACACAATGACAAACTTCAGTGAGGATGCAAAGCAACCGAAACTCAGGGGAGTGCGAACTGGTGCAACCTCTCTAGAAACGGTTGGGCCATATCCACTCCAGCTGACACCCACCCACCCTGTGGCCCAGAAGTGCCCAGCCGCAAGCGCCTGCGTGGACCCGACGACACGTACTAGAATGCCATTACCGCTTCATTCAGGACAGCCCCAGCCTGGAGACCACACACAGGTCCAGGAGTCCTCGACCAGTGCATTCACACGGAGCACTATGCAGCCGTGAGGAGGAACAACCTACAACTCACCCCAAGGCATGAATGGGCCCCCCACAGGAAGCCAGGCACGGAAGAGCACGTATCTGAGTCCATGTATGTACAACTCAGAGCAGCAGCAAAAGCCAGGATGGCGGGCTCCTTCGGGAAGGAAACCGGTGATAGGAAAAACTGTCTAGATTCCAAATTTTAAAGTAAAAAATAATTTTTCCTGCTGGATTGCCGGATTTTTTGCTTTGCTGGATTATCCAGCTGGATTGCTGGTTTTTCCGCTTTGCTGGATTTTCCTGCTTTGCATTTTGGAGGTAGAAAGTTCGAGGACAGGTAATGTGCCAAGGAGCCTCTACCTCCCTCACCACACCCTCCTCTCTCCTCTGCCACCAGCCAAGCAGGAACTCCAGGGGAAGTCCAACTGGGGACTGTCCCAAAGTGGTGATATCATTTTGGCTTCAAGTAAGAGTTCCACTAGCAACTTGGCTTTTCACTTCTTTTTCATTGTACCCATGTATGTATTTGCTCATCAAGCATATTCTTAGCTCTTGCTGTGTACCAGGCACTGTTCAACATGTGTCGTCATATTAGCTTATTTCGTGTGTTACACATGCGTTCCTTCAGCCCGCTGGGGATGTATCATGTGGCCTCTTTACTGGGCACTTACTATGGACCAGGTAGTCAGCTAAGTTATCAATTCATTCTCACACGAGCCCTTGGGAGGTGGGGGAAATGTCTGTTCCCATCGCAGACGAGGAAACAGAACGCAGTGAAGTCAGTGGCACAGCTGGGACTGGAAGCCAGAGAACCCCTGCATTTCTACAAGCTACTGGGCTCAGCCAGTCTGGTGACCACCTTGCACACAGTCACCTAGCAAGACCGGTGGAAATGGGAGGTTTCTGCGGCCCCACCCCGAGCCTAGTGATCAGACTCTCTGGCCCTTAGGCTGGCGGAGAAGCAGCGTCCCCCATGGCAGTCGTTCAAAACCCAGTTTGGGGCTGCACAGGACACTACAGAGCCACACCCCAGGCCAGCCGTGGGCAAACTACTGCCCGTTTGAAATGAATAAAACTAAAAAAAAAAAAAAAAAGACCGTACCCTTTTATGTAATGATGTTTACTTTGAATTTATATTAGTTCACACAAACACTCCATCCATGCTTTTGTTCCGGCCCTCCCGTCCCGTTTAAGAACCCATTGTGGCCCTCGAGTCAAAAAGTTTGCCCACCCCTGCCCCAGGCCCTGCACACAGTAGGTACATAGGGCTGGTCTGTTGAGTGGATAGACAGAAATGGGGCTGCCTGTACAGCTCTTCCTCTGGAAGGGAGCGGAGGTCCCTCAATTCCTTCATGTCTCCTCCTCTGGGAAGCCCTCCCTGACCATACCAGCCCAGCGTGGTAACGGCTAACGTAACCCTTGCTTTGCCTCAATTGTCTTCCTTGCATCTAACCATGTTATATGTGGACTACAATGAAATTGTCCGTTCTGTGTGTCAAAAATGAGGAATGGGACATTTTATTCAGGTCAGTTCTTAAGTGCGTCCCTCTACCACAGCGGTTCTCAACCTGTGGGTCGCCACCCTTTTGGGGGTCGAATGACCCTTTCACAGGGGTCGCCTAAGACCATCGGAAAACACATATATAATTACCTATTGTTTTTGTGATTAATCACTATGCTTTTATGTTCAATTTGTAACAATGAAAATACATCCTGCATATCAGATATTTACATTATGATTCATAACAGTAGCAAAATTACAGTTATGAAGTAGCAACGAAAATAATTTTATGGTTGGGGTCACCACAACATGAGCAACTGTATTAAAGGGTCGCGGCATTAGGAAGGTTGAGAACCACTGCTCTACCAGAATGTCAGCTGCAGGAAGGGTGACAGCCCTGTGCCCAGACAAAGCACACAGTAGGCACTCAGTAAGTGCCAGGGAGGTGTTGACCACTCTAAGGAGCTCCAAGGCTCCCCGCCCGCCCCACGTCCAGCCCCAGGGACGGGGCGGCGCAATCTCCGGCGCCTTCCCGGCCGCGGCGGCCAGGCGGGGTGGGGCCGGCCGTCATCCATTTACCAGCCTCGCCCCTCCGACGGGCGCGCCGTTAATGAGATTAGCAATTAAAAGGCGGGCGGGCGTGCGACGGGGCCGCGGGGCCACCCCCAGGCCGGGGCGGGACGCGCGCCTGGCGGCCGGACACCTAAACAGCCGAGCAGGCGCCGGAGCGGGAGGCCAGCGCGCAGACCCGCGACCATGGAGAAAGCGCGGCCGCTGTGGGCCAACCCGCTGCAGTTCGTGTTCGCCTGCATCTCGTACGCCGTGGGCCTGGGCAACGTGTGGCGCTTCCCCTACCTGTGCCAGATGTACGGCGGAGGTGAGTGCGCCTCGGGGCGCCCGGACCCCGCGGGACGGTCGCCGGCGCTCCCGGCGCAGAGCGGCACTGAGTCCCCACACCTGGAGGTGCGCGCTGAGACTGGCCCCCTGTTCCATCCGAGGCTCGGAGAGTGTTGGTGTGATTGCCCCGATTTGCAGAGCTGGGAAGGGGACTCAGGGGCAGCCAAGGCGCCCCCCACGCCCTCTGCAACCCCAGCCCCATTCCAGGGGCGGCCAAGCCCCCTACCGTACCCTTGCTGGCCAGGCTAGGAGAATGAGGGACACTATTTTGAGAAGTGGCAATAGTCTGAATTCTGAGTGTCAAAAGGGAGCAGGAAATTGCCTTGTTCAACAGAAACTCTTACACTCTAGCTCCGAAACTTATGTTCCTGCAGCGTGATTAGAAATGCAGGATAGAGGATCTTGAGCTATTTCTTCAGATTTTTTATAAAAGGATTGGTTTGGTTTGGAATCACAGAGGCCAGGAAGGCAAATCATTCCCTCCCTCCCTCCCTCCCTCCCTTCCTTCCTTCCTTCCTTCCTTCCTTCCTTCCTTCCTTCCTTCCTTCCTTTCTACAATTTTTTCTCTGAAGCATCGCAGCATACTCACTAGGTAGACAGCACCATACACCGCATTCTCTTAACGTCCAGAGAGCCGGGACACCTGTGCCATGGTCTGGAACCTCGCGAAGGCCAAGGGCCTTTTGGAAGGCAACGTTGGCGGTAGGGATTGAAGTTCAGCGTTTTTGAAAATGTTTCTCTTAGTTGTTCCATTTCTAAAATTCTACCTAAAGGAAATATGAGAGTCCTGCCAGAAGGTGGATGATACAGGAGCGTCTCCATCTCTCAATAAAAGCAAAACACTGGACACTCCCAAGCCCTGCACTGAACGGGCCCCTGGCTCGGGAAACGTGGACCATCCATGCAGGGTGCTGCTCACAGCCATTAAGCCAGCGTTCCAGAAACTGTTATGCATCTTCTCATTTCATGCATTAGACGGAGGGAGGGAAGTCAGAGTCAAGGCTGAATAAAATGAATGATCTCAACTTAAAATATGCAGAGAAAAGAGAATGAAAAAATATACCAGCATGTTCACAGTAGTTAGTTACCTGTGGGTGGTGTTGGCTTACCTTATAGGGTGTGTGTGTGTGTGTGTGTGTGTGTGTGTGTGTGTAATGTCTTCTATAATCTGCATGGATTTTTTTTTTCACCATAAAGGACAATGAAAGATGTCAGGCCAAAGTATTTACAAAATTTAACCCACTTAAGAAGACTAAGACCTAAAACAGTGCTCCCCCTCTCTTGCCCCCACCACTCACAAAAACAAAACCTCAACAAAAAGGTTAATCCACAGAAGGTTCTTTTTTTTAAATATATATTTTATTGATTTTTTACAGAGAGGAAGAGAGAGGGATAGAGAGTTAGAAACATCGATGAGAGAGAAACATTGATCAGCTGCCTCCTGCACACCTCCTACTGGGGATGTGCCCGCAACCAAGGTACGTGCCCTTGACTGGAATCGAACCTGGGACCTTTCAGTCCGCAGGCCAACGCTCTATCCACTGAGCCAAACCGGTTACGGCAAGGGTTTTTTTTTTTTTTTAATAGTGCATTCTTAATTCTGACTCTTTTTTTTTTAATGTTAAGGGCATAAATACATCCTAATTATGTGAAGGGTGTGTGTGGCCATATGCCGTAATAGTGCCATAACTGCCTTTTGAAATAATTATTTGTCAGGATGCGATTTCCCCGTCATTCTGTGTCAGCACACCTACCCCCGCTACCTTTATCCTTTCCCAAACTTCGGCCAGGTGAGCCTTGCTGTCACATGACTATTCCATTCCTTGTCTCTAACAACACCATCACCTGGGTAGTCTACAGGTGGACACAATAACGCTGAAGTAGAATAGATCTAAGGTGCTGCTGGGAAAACCACAAGACCTTGAGGACTTGGGAAAAGGAAAGAAACTTGTGGCTGGGACAGAGTATATTACGTTGGTAGGTAGCTAGAAAGATGGATGGATGATGGTTGACGAAGGGATGGACCTGGAGAAAGGATGGAAGGATGGAAGGATGGCCGGGTTGGGGGATGGACGGATGTTGGTTGCGTGAATGGCACCCTCTCAGGCTTAAGTGTCTATAGCAGTGGTTCTCAACCTTGGCTGCACATTAGAATCACCTGGGAATCTTTTTAAAATCCTAATTTCTGGGCCTCATCCTCCGGAAATTCTGTTTCTTTGTTACTAATGTTGTGGTCTCACCCCATAACAAAGAAACAGAATTTCTGGAGGATGAGGCCCAGAAATCAGGATTTTAAAAAAATTCCCAGGTGATTCTAATGTGCAGCCAAGGTTGAGAACCACTGTTCTAGAGTTTCTCTGTCTCCTACTGGCCCGTCTCTGTGAGGTGGAGGGGGGGGGGGGGGGGGGGGGCGGGGGGGCGGTGTCAGAGGAGGCGCCAATAAATACTTGTTGGGTGAATGAGCCAGGTTCATTATGAAAAGCGCAGGGTCTGAGGCTGGTGGTTTTCTGAGCCTTTTGCTGACAATCGTGTCGCCTATTAATTAATAAGTGATTTATGTCCCCCCAAACCCAGGCAGCTTACAGATCCATCCTTTACCTAAAGCTAAAGGGTAAACCAATCACCCAGATCACCCATAAAAGGCTCCGAGTGTAAGTAACTTCCTTCCAAACAGAGCTGTGACCTCCCACCCCCGGTCAACAAAGAGCTTGTTGATCAGCTGCAGGGCCGCGCTGTGCCACATACTTCCCAGAATAAAACCGATTAGGGGTTTGTGCCCCTTCCACGGGGCTCTGTCCACGACCAGGGCGGCTGGTTTCCTCCCCGCTCTGCTGGCCGGACCCAGCCAGAGGAATGTTAATTCCGCAGACTGCACGCCAGGTCCCAACCACCTCGGTACAGCAGGCTGGCCCCGGGCGGCGGGGGAGGGCGTGCAGCTGTAGGAACCACACACAATCTCTTCTGGAAAAAGCTGGCAGGTCTGGGCGATCATGTCAAAGTCTAAGTTGTTCAGGAAGCAATCGAGATGCAAATGGGCTGCACACCAAGGTGCAGAGAAAGGTGCGCCGGCGGCTGGTGGTTCTAGAACCACGCGCTCCAGCCGCGGAGAAACTTGGGGCAATGAGAATGGTTGTGCGGCTGGTGGAAATCGGATTTTTTTTTCTCCTGAATTTTCTCTGTGGGCTATTTGAACCATAAAGAGAGGGAATCAGAGGCTACCTGACCGTGCAGTAGGGCAACGACACTCTAAGCCTGGATGTCCCCTCCCCGCAAAGCCCCTGCTGCTCTCTCCAGTGTGTAGGATCTTGGTAAACTGCTGGACCCCACGCCCAGAGATTCCGTCTCAGGTATCCGCAGGCGGGCAGGATTCTGCATTTCCGACAAGCTCCCAGGCGGTGCCCATCAGAGCTGCTGGCCCACGGACCACACTTTAGAGGAAGCCACTCTCCCAGGCACTAGCTGCTGGGAACCAAGCAGTCGGGGGGCTGGTAGATGTTGGACAACTGGCTTTGGTAGCGCAGGACCTAGTTTGTAGCATTTGCCAATTACCATGGTGTAAATGCTCCCACCATGGCTGGTTTCAGACTAGCAGAGTCACATCTGGGATGCGGGGTTGGGAAGAGATGGGCACGGCCAGCTCTTGTGAGCCAGGGTGAGCCGGCCCCGGCACACCACTGGAGCCACAGCCCTACAAGCCAGCACCAGCCCGGAACTGAGCCACACCAGGTAGGCTTTGTAGAGAACAAAGGTGTGTAAGTACAGGTAGAGGAGGTGTTTGGAAGCCTGCGGAAACTTTGCCCTGAGAGTGGTAGACTCCGATTTGTCTCTTCGTGGGTCTCAAAGAGGTAGAGCAAGATACAAGGGCTTGCGGAGATCAGTTTCATACAGAAGGAATTTCTCTTCTAGTGAGATTCTTGGGTTTAGCAAACAGATAAGGTACTGTGTGTGACAATTAGGAAAAGAAGTGGCAACATGCTCTAGAATAACAAATTTCTGTGTTTTGGAGTTACAGATGTAATACATCTCCATGGTATAACATTTAGAAAATAGAAAAATACAAATCCATCACCATTTATTAGGCCCCCTTATGTGCAATTTTTACCTCAAAAATGTGTGAGCTCTATGTCTCGGTGTTAAATATGTTTTCATCACTTTACCTGGGACTAGTGAGCCCGCCAGTGACACACACGGGGAGAAGTCCTGTGGGGCGTGCATGTGTTCCAGCTGCTGCGTAGGCACTTTCTGTCTCCCCGGCCCTCGTTCCCGATGGAAAATCCTTGGGCTTGCTGTCCGTGCCTCAGCTCTCCTCTTCTCATTTCCACTTCTCCGCCCTTTTCCTCTGGGCTGCAGGATCATTGCTCAAGGCTGTATTCATATTTTTCATCTTCATGTAATCTTGTTTCTTCTTGAATTGTCTTTTCTTCATCATTGCCTGATGCTGTTCTATAAACAGTGTCTCCTTGGCTCTCAGAGACCAAGTTTTAGACATTATCTACACAATTCTTCTGTTTCTCCCTTTCTGAGGGTGGGGACACAAAGGAAAGTCAAAGTTCAAAGGTTTGTAGATAAAATAATAGTCCTCTATCAGCGTTAACTTTTTTTTATTGATTTTAGAGACAGGCAGTTAGAGACATCGATTTGTTATTCCACTTATCTATGTATTTATTGATTGCTTCTTGTATGTGCCCTGACCAGAGATGGAGCCCGCAACCTTGACATATCAGGACGATGCTCTAACAACTGATCTACCCGGCCAGGGCTCAGTGTTAATTTTTTTATTTTGCTGATTGCCTGGGATTATGTGAGAGAATGTCCTTGTTTGTAGGAAATACACGCTGAAGTATTAAGAAGAAGGAAAAAAGCCCAGCTTGTGTGGCCCAGTGGTTGAGCGTCGACCTATAAATCAGGAGGTCACGGTTTGATTCCGGTCAGGGCACATGCCAGGGTTGACAGCTCAATCCCCAGTAGGAGGTGTGCAGG